CCTCCTGCTCTATTGAACAAGTCTGTGGTGTCTGGCTTAGAGAAAAGAAGGCAACGTGTCATTGTTCTCACAGACGTTTCAACTTTGCCCCTCTCACTTTCTATCTCGCCTTCGTCTGAGAGTGTGTGTGGGTTTGTGTGTGTGTAACTCATCCTACTGTACCTGCATTCCCTGTCATTCGATAGGGTAGCTATCCGGATTACCAGGTGCTCCTTTGAGCCAATAAGAAATATTTGCCTTGTTTCAATTATGAGATAATCATTAGAGTGTCACACAGTGTGCAGGCTCCATTGAGGGAACGCAGTCAAAGTTTGTTGAGTGGAATAATGCTTTTCTGTCTGTGCAAAAGTATGACTCATAATGAATAGTAACGGTAGCAAGCGGCATGTACTTTGACTTTTCCTGCAATCTTCCTTGTGAGACAATGCCACCCCAAGATGGCGTCCATTTGGCTGCAGCATTTGTCTTCCCTTCACCCTCTGCGTCAATATCAATTTCCTTTTGGACAGGTCAGGTGCCAACCCTTTGCAGAATACCATGCATGAGTCCGGGTGGGTTGGGGGGGGGGGGGATGCTGAGATACCAGAATTTGGCTCGCATGTGTGTGTGCGGGGAGGGGTCGGCGGCGGGGGGCATCGCCAGTTGGCAGGCTGGCACACAATGGCTGGCACGATAAGATCCTCCCTCTTCTGCGGGCAGATTTCCTCGCCCATATCTTTTGTTTGGCTTGTTTGGGTTGCAGCTCATCCTGATAAAGGCCACTTTGTTTAGACAACAAAGCGCGAGGGAGGCAGAGAAGAGAGAGATAAAGAGACAAAGAGATAGAAAAAGAGAGAGAGAGAGGGGGCATTACAAAAAAATATAGGCGGCAAAGGGGGGAGAGCATCGACATACATGGGGAAAGATGTTTAACGAGGAAATTTGAAAAAAGATACACGTGATAAGACGATATCTCCACATACACACTAAATGGTAGATATACACAGAGGCATGTATGAAAAGATACAATAGAGGAAGGATACTGTTGCAGATAGACAGATAGCAGGAGAAGAAAGAAAGCGATCTGGAGGAGAGCAGGTTCTGCTGCTATGGAGCCGCCGAGCAGCGTGAGGTCATCGCCGGAGCTGCCAGTGATAGAAAGCAGGAGCAGAGGAGGACACGGGACAAAGTACACACACATTCCATACCGGCACATGTACGGCCATTTACTGTCAAGACTTGCATCACCCTGCGCTTCACACACATATTTTTCGGTGTGTGTGTGTGCAAGCAAGAACAAACTGGTCTCCTGCAGCAGGAAGGGAAAGAAAAGCAGGAGGACACTGAGCAGAAAGTCTGCCCGGCCACATCAAATATTTACTCAGGAGCAGCTGTATTGTCGAAACATTACGCATTGGAGCTGCTCCGTAATTAGGTCGATATTTTCTCCCTCTCTCAGTTTCCCTACTTCTCCGGGAGTCCACCCTTCTCCTCCACACTCCCCTCCCCTCACCTCCCCAGGCTGCTGAAATGCGTCTTGGCTCGGGACCCATGCCTCTGGCAGCCAGAGTGCTATACATGTGCACAGAACCCCGCTCGGCATAAAATGGCTGCCAGACAGGCTTCTCCTCCTGAAATGTCGACAGCGGTATGCATCTGCAGGGTGTGTGTGTGTGTTGCGCGTGCGCACTGTTTTTTTTGTGGAGGATATCTGTACGTGTCTGCAAGTGTTTGCGGGCAAGGAACGTGCACCGCCGCTGTCAGAAAAAAAAAGAGAAAGTTTCCCAAACTATGTGGCTGATTTAATCCACGCTGTGTGTATGTGCATGTGTGTTCCGCAATTTAGTGGGAACAGAATCGGTATGATGCCAAAAAATGAGAGGGTGGGTTAGGGAGAGAGTGTGTGCGAGTGTTTTAGTCATTATAAAATCCAGGCGAGTAACACACTTGGGCGTGGAGAAACCTCACAAGCACTGAAAAAACTTTTCTTGCAGAGCCAGATTTCTGTTGCCATTACCCCTAATTGCCCTAATCGTTACAGTGGTATGATAAGTATCCCACCGGACAAGAAGGTGTAAGAACTCGTGGACAAAATACCCACAAGCCCACCCTTTTTTTTCTTGCCGAGTAACAGCAGATAATGTGATTCATACGTGGTCCTGTTTTTTCACGTCCTTCATGAATCGGTTTGTTTATTTAAACAAGTGGCAGGGACGGAGGGTGCCAAAAATGTTGTTTGGAAAAGGGCCGTGTGTGTATGTGCGTGTTTATGTGTGTGTGAGAGAAGGCGTGTGTGTGTGTGTGTGTGTGTGTGTGTGTATGTGGTGTCTGGCCCTGTGATCCAGGCCTGCCAAGCTCCCGGGGCAAAGCCCAGCCTCCTCGACCGCAACTGTTTATTTACAGGTTACACTACTGTTTATTTGAAGACTATCGGATTGGCTAGGGCTCTGCACAGGACACCTTTTAGATACAGATACCACGCTCCAAATACCCCGCTTCTTTACTTTATTCAAACCACTATCTGAAGTGCATTTTTTTTATTTAACTGCACTTAAATCCAGCTTTTTACAACCCAGAATGATCTTTCTTGGACCTGTTTGTGCTTTTAATTGAGGCTTTATTGAAATACCTGTTGAGTGACGGTGTGAAATAAAGTGTTCAGCAGATATAATCAGCACCCTTGCGGCCTGATAAATGTGCGCGCACTGATCTAAACGATTGTAATCAGGCTGAAAGAAGATGAAGGAGCGTGGAGCTGCCCTTCCCGGGTCAAAGGTAAAATGTAATGCAATAGGGGCGGTGTTTCCAGGCCTGGCAGATGCGCCATATGCTCGCGTCCCACCTTGAGTCATCCAGGTGGTCTCTCCTGGTGCGACAGTGGGGCCTCATGCTGGAAGATGCTGCCTGGGATCTCTAATTGCCACCACCATCTGCTCTTTTTGTCATGTCAGCCCTCGGAGTATGAGAGAAACCAAACCAAAGACACGAAACTCTGATCCGATCTAAACGAACCCTCTCCCACCTCCCTCTCTCCCCTCACCACCTTCTCCGGCGTTTACCTCATCCCCACTCTCTGGTTGCTCTTTTCTCTCCTCTGGCTCCTTTCTTCCCCGCTCAGCAGTTTCTCAGGGCGCGAGCGTAGACTTGGCAGTCGTAACGAGACTGATGGATGACTCTGAAAGTGGCATGGGGAGGGGGGCGGAGACGGAGAAGACAGGAGACAAGGCCACTGAGCTCCGTGCAATCACTTTATGGACATGTGCTGTGCCAAATCCACACAACCGTCCGCTCGCCCACAAAAGCTCCTTTACATACCGTGTGTGTGTGAAAGTGCGTGTGTGAAAGTGTGTGTGTGTGTGTGTAGGGGTCAACTTAATCGAATAGTTGCTTATTTCTGCAAGGCAAACTTTCCTGAGAATAGACAATGATGTCAACAGTTAACAATTTGTATTACTGGTATGATGATCTGAAAACGTATGTCATTTGCCCATGAATGAGTTCATCTAAGATGCTAAGATGAATGCGAATCAGTCTGTTGTTCCAGCTTCTGAAACTTGAATATTTGACGCTCTTTTGATGTTAATAATTTAATAATGAGGTTTTAGACTTTTGAATGAGCAATTTTACAATGTCACCTTGAGTTCTTGGCAATTTTTCATCACTTTGGCAATTCTGAGGACTCGGAAACAATCAAAAATGGAGTAATCAATAGCTGCAGTTCTAACTTTTCTGTGTGCAAATGAGATTTACCAGAGATCCATAAAACGACGTGTTGCAAAAGCATTTGTCTGGCTTGTGTTTTTAGGAATCAGAGCACGGATTGTGCGACGGTAACTTTTAACTCCACTCTTACATATAGGGTCTAAGCATACTGAAGAGAGGGGGATTTTTTTTCCTTCTTAACGTATGGTCCCGTTCCCTCCCTACTTTGTCATTGTTGAGCTTCGGCCAAGAACATTCTGTTTTTGCAGGGCTGTTTAATAGTCAGAGAGAACAAGAATAAATCTTTCAACTTTGTTCTCCTCCATCTACCCCCCCCCCCCCCCCCCCCCTCCTCCTCTTCTTTCCTTCTCTCTGTAACGCTGCTCATGAGGGCTGCGGCAGGAAAAAGGGGGTGTTGTTGCACGGCGAGGGTATCTGAGTTCACTTTCTCCAGCTTCTTGTCTGGGCTCTCGCATTTAAGGCGTAGATGATAATCTCCCTGCTGCTTCTCATTGGCGTGTGGGGGCTTTCGGCCGTCATTACGGGGGGGGTCCACGCAGACGCTGGAGATCACTGTTTGGCACGGCAGCCGTTCGGCGTGTGATTGTGAGGCCTTGATATGTTGGGGTTATTCTTTCCAACATACAACAGCAAGTTGATGTCTCCCAACGCTTGCTGTTGTTTGATGGAGGAGGAACTGCTGAGGAAAAGACGTCAGTCCGGGCCGACTCATTCCAATGCCGGTGGAAAGAATTCCACTCATGTTTCCTTGTGTTCCCCCGCCCCTCCTGTCCTCTCTCCACGTTCTGTTCTGTGCTCGTACCTTGCACAGCAGGACCGAACACATTCTGCGTCCCCCCCCCTCCTTCCAAAACTCTCTCGGCCCCTTTGAAAAATTACCCAGAGGTCTGCCGGTAAAAACTTTTTAGCTATCGAGTGTCAGACAGAGAGCTTTTTTTCCTTCCCATTAATGATAATGCTGTTCAAACAAAACTGTCTTGTTTAATGCACAGTGGGTATGCTCGCCTGGTAGATAAGGAAAAACATTAAGACACCCAGGAAGCCCTGAAATGCAATTCGTCTTGTTGGAAAAAAGTGATTTCTTCTTTTTAAACGACCTCAGGGAGGATTAGTAGGCCAAAGGTGTTTGACAAACTGTAAAAAAGAGAGATCAAATACATTTCTAAAATACTTTAACCAGGTTATCTTGGAAAAAAAAAATCAATGCTGACAAGAGAACCGTGTTTCAGTAAGATGGCATGTTATTGTCCTCTTGCTTTACTAAGCCCCCCCCCCCTCATCTCTCTGTGTGTTTGCAGACTCGCAGCAGTCAGGAAGTCCCAGTAACAATGAGCAAGGCAAGAACCCTCTTCCAGGTATGTACAGTACCAGCCCTCCTCCCTCCTGTCATCGTTCTATTGTTCTCGGCAGCTCGCCCTATGCACACCACAACTTACCTTCTTTAAATAGTGTTTATCTACAGGCAAAGCAGCAAAGCCCTCACTTAGCAAAAACAATCAAGACAAACTGTACTGTACTGCCTTAGGTGCTTTCCATACCATGTGATCCAACAACAACCATAGACCAACGGCAATTTGTAAAAGCACAAAACCAGCTCATTCTGATTAAGTCAATTCATCTGCAAAAAATGGACCGTTTAGAAAATTGACACACTTGTCGTAAATAATCAGATATAAGTGATTTTTTGACTTCTGTGTGACATCCGCTGGCTAAGGACGTAGCTTAACTTCAAATGGAGCGAGGAGAAATAACACGGATGATTACATTTTTGAAGCGTCATCATCCTGGAGGCCAAGACACTAAAGAGTGAAAAGTTTACAGCAGATTGCACCTTTGGCTGGTAGCTGAGTGTGTCATGTTGAAGCAGCTGCCAAGAATACTCTCTCACAGCGCCGCTGTTGTTCCCCGGACTGACCTGCGCTCTGTCGTCACAATATTGGAATGAAAAGAGTTTGAGAAGTATAATTAGTTGTCTACCTCAAGAGCAGGTTCTGCCGATACAGGTGCCAAGGAAAACATGTTAGCGAGCCAATGACTCAGGGCTTGGAGGCCCCTCAGCAGCGGCACAGCTCTGGAGGCATGTGGCTTTGTAGGTGCCAATGGAGCCGCCCGCCTATCTCTCTGGCACGGCCACACCGACTTTGGCACCGTATCAAAGCAGAGCCGGAGTCATTCGGGTGTCAATAACTTGTCTGACTGTTTGACTTGACTTGCAGCCTCTGATGAGTGTCACTGGTCATACAAGAGATGCTTCAAGGAAATATACATTATCATTCTTTGGGCTGTGTGAGGAAAGAAAATCTTTAATTTGTTTCCAAAGCGCCTTCCAAAGCTTACATTGGATTACATTACTGAGTAAATAAGCTTGAATGTAAACACTGCAGCAAACGGCTCTTTAAGGTGGATATTTGTTGACGGGATAGTGTATCTAAGTCCACTGACAGTTATTAAGTTTTGCTTGTGTATTTGATTAAATACACGGCGCCTGCCTCCCTCACTGGTTTCTTCTCAGCAGCAGTGTCAACACCTCCCCCCCCCCCCTCACACACACCTGTCCTGTCACTCTGGACTGTCCTGCTGCACACCACACTGTCACTGTAAACACTTTAACTGAAAAACAGGCACAGTAACTACATTTTTTGTAGTATGACTGAGTCCCTGTGTGTCATGATCTATAACTGTGTGTTTGTCTGTGACGAATTGATGACTTCATATACCTCTTGCTTTAAAATGTTAAATATATTTATATAAATATAGGATTTTGTTTATTGGTTTCAGCCTCAATGTTGTCCGTTTCCAGTTTTGACTACTTAAGGTTACGCTTAAGGGAGTAAAAATAAGATGTTTTTTAAGCTTCATCCAGAAAGATGCATTATGGTTGTGAAAAGTGTGGTTAAATAACTATTTTGTTTACTTTCAGTGTTTCAAAGAAAGAGAGTTTATAGATATATTGATCACCGTGTTGAGTTCACATTCAAAGAAATATGTGGCATGGAGGATAAATCATCAACTCTTAATTTTGTGTATATTTGAGTATAATAATAATAATAATGATTGCATGAATTGTGTTTGTTTCTACAGTCTACTTGGAGGACAGCTTCATCAAATCAGGAGTCTTCAGTGTTGCAGAGCTGGTGCGAGTGTCCAGAAGTAAGTACACAGTATATTATTTGTTGTTTATAAGTGTTTACCCTGCGCACACAGGTGTTTTCAGGTATTCTGTTCCTTGCCACTGATTCCCCCTCGGCTCACATTGAAGCTGGGCGGCGCTACGAGCGAATCGCGCGAGGAGAACAAAGTCTATGCACTGACAAGAATGCAGAGGGTGTTAGTTTCCCTGCCCTAACAGGTGCAAGCCAGATCATATGAGTCAGGGAGATGTCAATCAAACGCAGTCTGTACACGCCCACAGGGGTCTAATCAGGTCACAGAGAAATGTTTAATCTTTTCTTTTCTTTTAATTAAATCCAGACTGTAAGTGTTTTTATTTGTACAGAATACGTAGCGAACAGCTTTTCTACAAACCTGTGTATATTTACCGAACTGCTGTACTGTAACACTGCACTGGTAGATCCAGTTTGTCCAGTCTGTTGACTGCGCAGCCGTCTGTGTGAGCCTATGTGCATCTGTACAGACACGTCCACAGCCGTTGACGGTTGTTCTCGCAGCAGTTCTCTCCTCTCCAAGGGCCCCCGAGGTGGTGTTTTTTTTCCTGTGCTTCAGCTCAGGAACATGCCTGTGGTACACAAAGTCTCCAGTCACCCCCAATAACCTGTGTTTAAGAGAAGCATACCTGTCTGTGTGTTAAAGTCTATTCCAGTCCCATAGTGCGAGTCCTGTTTAGTGCAGAAACTCTGAAGTGCAGCTCAACTAAATGCCAGTCTACACCACCGACTATTACATTAGATTTACCCGACCCAAGTTAGGTTCGTGCCAATCTTATGGTGCTTTTTTAAATTTAGTTATTTTTAAAGGTAATATTCTGTAGTGTCCAGACTTTGGTATGTGCTGTGCTGCCATTAACAGCATTATAACCAATGAAGTTGTTGACAGGATAAGATTCAAACTAACAAAATATTACAATTAGAGGGTCATAAAAAGAAAAAATCATATGCATAATGCTTTGTTCTAAAATCAATATCCTGCTGTTCTGCTGGTTTCAATAATGACTGAATGACTGGCTTATTCATATTTGTTTCGCTGTTTGCTATTTCTACACAATCTCTATTTAATATTTATGACAATGGCAATTCTTACTATTTTGAACACCAAATTATTAGTCGAAAAAAGACATTAGCTGATGAAAATACTTGATAGTTTTGGCCCTAAAGTGATGTCCAAAATCGTCCAAATCCTCAACTCTCCTGTGCTCAATTACCCTCAAACATCCAAAAATAAAGACTAAATATTCCCTGTGCCCGGGTTTTTTTTACATGGGAAACCCTCATTGTAGTCAATTGGCGTTTCACGTGTTTATGGCTGCAGAACAGCACTCGGTATCTAAAGATGACCTTGTTTTGTGTCTACCTGCCGTATCAAAGTGTCTCCGCCTCTGCAGCTAGACCAGGTCGTCCTACCGCTCTCATACATCATGCTCTGAAAGGCGGAACCTGCTCCTTTTCCATGCTCAGAGACTGAATACCCTTTAAAGCCCGTGTTTTTGTTTAGTGTTTAATTCGCCCCCTGACCAGATGGCCGCCGCGCTGCCGTGCCTGCTCTCATGTGACCGAGCCCCTGTTTTTCACTGAAGCCGACTGAAGTGGAGCTGGAATTTTAAAAAGGTCGACGGACACAGAGGAATTGTCACTCACTCAGCCGGTCACTCCCTGGGAAGATATCTAAGCAGCCGCTCGTCCGTCAGCGCGCTCCTCTCCGGACTCTCCGAGACGTTCTTTGAAGTCCATCAAAGGCGCTCCGCGGTTCAAGGCTGCCTCGCGATCCAGCATTTCGGCGAGGACACTCATTAATGCAACAGGAGCCTCCACTGCGAGACATTTAGTCAGTGTGGACAAGCGCAGGCAAATGAATCTGTTGATGTGAATGTGTGGAGACAGTAGTGATGAAGCATTGTGTGGCAGATTATTTGCACCATCATTTGCTGCTAGAAAGTCATAGCAGGGCAGCCAAGTGGCAAAAGCCGAGCCAAGAAGTGAGAAGGCTGCACACACAAGAGATGTTTGGGGGTATCCTCTCCTCGAGTAAAAAAAAAAAACAATGGTGGTGTGTTCAGCGCTGGCCGGATGCATTCTTCCACAGACAGCTCAGTGTGGTGGCAGCGGGCGGGGGCCTCTGCCAGGGCCGCAGTGGGCTGCCAGGGCGGAGGCTGGCGGAGGGATCGTGCCAGTGGTGAACCTCAGACCACAACAGACGGCGCCACACACTCCATCCTCTCATCGACTCCAAACCAAGCGAGCGCTGGAGCTGCAGGCCACACAGACACACAGGGAGAGGGGATGGTGCTGAACTCCTTTTGTTCTGTAAACACGGGCCCGGCCTCCCTTGAAACAATATCCCTCACCTTGACCGCAGTGAGAAAAACAACACTTTCACCGCTGTAAATCACTCTGCGGGGGGAAAACCTCTGAGTTTTTTTAGATCAGAGAGAATGCAAGAGAAGGAGCTGTTGATGATTTGGTTTTCACACCAAGCTCATGCAACCTTTGATTTAAACCGCATCTAATGATCATTTCATTATTTTCTAGATTAATCGGTTAGTTGTTTGATCTTTCGAATGTCAGAAAATGATGGCGGCGAAAAATGTCAATCAGTGTTTCCCAAAAGCCAAGATGCAGCCTTAAATGTCTTGTTTTGTTCACAAACATATTCAGTTTACTGTCACAGAGGTGTAAAGAAAGTGAACGATAATTTATCTGTCAAACAGGCGATTAATCTAATAGCTTATCTAATCAATGAATCTTCCCATATGTACTGTTGATGCATCACACATTACTATAATTAGGAACAAATGGCCTGTTCCATAAATAAGATTTTACTCTTTTTTATTTTTCCATATATCACGTGTTTATGTTTGATTTGATTTTAAATAGCCCAATTCTACGAAATGTATAAGCATATTTGTACTTAACACAATATTAAAAATCGTGCTTTTGCATGAGTCTTTGTGGAGACACTCAGATCTGTCAACCAAACCATTGATCGGTCTGAAAACTCTTACAAGGGATGGTTGAATAAGATGCTATCAAGCCAAGGACAGCTGCAGTGACAGAAAACTTTGGATAGAAGATGTCCCTCCTGCTCGGGGGACGCGGTGACTTGTGAATCAGAGAGCTCAGCAGAAACGCTCGTGATGGTCAGACAGTTAAATGTGAAATCGGGAGAGCTTAATTTGATACATAGCCTCTAAACACAGAGCGTCAATAACAGTCAGTCAAGCCGTTGTGCAATTAATTGTGCAATTAATTGTGCGTCTCTAGATGCAAAGTAAAGACAACAGTGCTGACACAGAAGTCCTTCTCCGCAGTGATTACATACTAACTGTCCCTCTTTGTCCTCTGCAGTGCCCATCATCCACGGTGCTGCGGTGAACTTCTCCATGACCGACATGCCCAGCCAGCCCTACTACCACGACCTGAACTCCAGCGCGGGGCTGCACCGCTCCCTGTCCTCCCCGCCCGGCAGGTCAGTCACAGCAGCAAAGCTTTTGAAAAGTTAGGAGGAAAAACTCCCATAATAACTCATAGCAGTGGCAGTGTTTATTACAGCTATATTGGGAAACGACCAGTTTCCAATTTATTTCCCTTATCCTTTTATTCTGTCTTATTCATTATAAACAAGCAATAAATAATTCTATTAGGCAGCTTTGGCTCAGGGGTAACATGATTGTCCTCTTATCTGATGGTCGGTGGTTCGATTCCCAGTCCCTGCAGTCAAATGCCAGAAAAATGTTAAAGTTATCTTCAAATGTCTCCTTATAGTGTGCTACCCTGAACAGATGGTACCTTTTTAATATTGTAGCCTCGGACTATTAATGAATGTGTGTGATTGGGTTAATGCTGATTTGTATATGTAAAAGTGCTTTAATGTCACAAAGACTGGTGGTGCTTTTATAAATGCATTGGACACACTAAACATATAAACTCATCAGTCAGTGACAGCGTTGTTGCAAATCACAATTACTGAAGTATTTCATCATTTTCCAGAACAAATATAAGAAAAACGTTCAAACTATGACAAAGCTAACATTTAGTCCACCCAAAGCTCGTCATTACTGATAATCCATCCTAAAGCTGGGCTGAAAATCCCCCAATCTGGTCACATTTATTTTTAGCGTGTGTTGTCAACAAATCAGGGACCACCTGTAAAAACCTGAACACATCTTGGGCTTCACAGTTTCAGTTATTTTCAGAAATCCTTTATTCCTTTACATAATTACAACAGCTGAAAAATAGTGCAGATTAAGTTAAGAGAATAGACTTACATAATTAAAAAAACAACAAAGTAGGCAGACATTATTAATAATAAAAAACACAATAAGCAACAAAGAAATAGCACATAATTACACCATGATAAAAAAACTAAGTAGCAGTATATTTATACTGTACAAAGTTTTATATTTACACACATAGATGAGTATGCCCTTAGGTACACACACAAAGACAGTAAGCAGCACTTTTCATCAGTCATGGTTCGTTTCTGTTATAATGTATGATTTATGTTAGACGCCATCTTGCAATCTTGAAACAATGAAGTCAATGCTGAAATATCAACTCCTCCTTGTCCCACAGCAAAAGGCCCAAAACGGTGAACATGGATGAGAACATGGACACGAGCCCGACGGGACCCGACTTCTACTCATCACCCAGCTCTCCAGCCAGCAGTCGGGCCAACTGGCACGACAGAGACGGAGGTGAACCTTTTTTTTTTTTAAGGAAGGTTTGACAGGCTGCATCACATTCAACACAAACATTCAGAGCCCTTTTGCAAAGCAGCATGTTGACAGATATTAATGAGGGATAGGAACGCATTATCTGCTTCACCATCAACACATGCAAATAGATTTGATCAAAGAGAACACCTCACGCTGTCTTTTAACGGCAGCTGAACTGTCTTTAGCTCTCGGCCTTGTCATGAGCTACTGTACATCAATGCCGCCACCCCTTCCTCTGCGGATGAACTGCATCTGGTTTCTCTGCACATGAACCTGCTCAACTCTCTTAAAATACATACCATGACAGAGATAGCCCCAGGCTTCAGCACTCGTATAAATGTTTAAACCCATTTTAACCGCTGTCTGCATGTAAATCTGTATTCTCTCGCACCTGTCGCTCACACAAAGGAAACATTGGATCCCACAACACACGGTCCGTCCCGAGAACACACTGTTCCAGCTGAAATACAACACGTGTCTGAAGAGTAACCCCTGGTTATTTTAAAACTGATTAACTTTACAGAAACAGTTTTACTTTCATACAGTGGCGGAATACAGAGGAATCATGAAGTATAAGTACTCAAGTACATATTGCCATTTCACTTTTTTCTCCACTTATTTGACAGCTTTAGTTACTTTTAACTTTCAGATTTATAGCTAATAAAGTATATTAATAAACATTAACATGTAATAATAGGTTAAAATACCAACCTGCTGTATATCATGTTATTAAAATGAGCTTGAACTCTCCCAGCTGTTACAGACAATGCATTAATAATCATAACCCAGTCATTTAATATACATCATTCTCAAATGGACTACCAAGCACAAAAAGTACTTTTTGTACTTTAACTATATTTTGCGGCCATTACTTTTGTACTTTAATATTGCTATTGTTGCCTAAGTAAAAACAGATTTCTTTACACAAATCCCTTGAACACCATGTGCTTTTTTAGAGAAATCCCTATTTATAACCCCGATGCAGAGCTCTTCAGGGCGAACGTGTCAGGTGACGTCTCATCAGGAAGTCATGATACACATCTTGGCTGAACTTGAGAGAAATTCCCCATCAGGGAAGTTTTGACGCCAACTGTGAGGACTAGTAAGAAGGGAATACGAAATAAAGCTCATCTAATGAGCTCACACACAGGGCTTACTAGATTTGAGAAAAGGTAGAGATGCAGAGAAAACAAGCCGTCCTGCATGTGAGAGAGAGACCCTCGCGGGACGGCTCGCATGTCTCATTACGTCGTCTCCTGGTGCAGAGCAGAGCCCGTCACCCTTTTAATTAAGGCCTCACTGTCCCGTGTTTCCGGATCATTCCCACTCTCTGCTGACTTCTCTCCACACTCTGCTAACCACACTCAATTTCACCGATGTAAGAATTAGACCAAGGGAAATAAAAATATTCTACCACATTTATCTTACAATCCTTTTAAATTGTAATGTATAAGGCTGAGAGGAAAACACCAGCTGATTCACATATCGCTGCGTTGGAACCACAGCCCATTGTGGGAACATGAAAATGCAGCACAAGGCCTGTGTGTATCGCTCTGTGTAAACTTAGACGCTCTGGGGCGAGGAGAAAGGGAAAGCAGTGGGTAGGAAACTCTCCAAAGACAGCCATTATTCTGTCAAGAGAGAATAAATGAGAAGTGGGGCGATATTAAACCCATATGAGGCCTCCTCCAAGCGCCAAGTGGTCACTTCTCTCTCATGGTGATCGTTCGGGAGGAAGGAGTAGTTTCTCTCGTGGATTTCTCGGTACACATTTAAAATGAAATGAATCATTGAAAGTTTAAACACTTTTTATTTAAAGTGTTTAATTTCTGGTTATTAATCGACCGGTTTAATTTCCTGAGGCAGAGCAGTCCTTGAAGGATTTAATTAGCACAACAGAGAGGAAATAGCTGAACACCTCCACCGCAGAAAATAGTTCCTTTTTATACACGGGTACATTAAGCAGTGATATCAATCTTCTGGAGGTATTTCTCCCTCTGACACAAAAATGAAAGCTCTTAAGCTTGTATCCTCTTCCAACCTCAGAGTGGGAAATCCCCCAGAATTCCTGCCACCTTTCTCTGGAGATGAGAGACTCTTCCTGTCACTCGGGTGGTTCCTTCCCTGTTTTCGGGAGGAGAGAGCGGTTAACAATGCCTCAGAAATAGGGTTTATTTAACTTCTTTCGGGGAGGAAAAAGATGGATGATTTGAAAGTCATACACCCCAGGAATCTGTGACAGAGCAGAAAAGCTCTTGATGAATGTTCCTAAAAGAAGCAGCGTCTATTTGTTATCACGTTCTCCTCAGACGCCGTGTCTCACCACGGAAAATTGAAAACCGCACATCTGTGACAGCAGCATATTGCTCATGGAAGTGAGGAGCAGCAGTAACTAGCAACATTTAAAGAGTTTTCGTGCATTCTTTTAGTCTGTAGAGCTAAACAAATATTACATATCTTGTATTTGGGATTGTTCACGGGGAATCACAGTAGCTTGTCAGAAACCGTGTAAGGCCGAGGCGAGCAGATGTTTCAGTGTAATGTTCTGTACAGGATTGCGTTAGGGTCTTGAAATGTACTAAATCCTATTTGAGCGACTGGCTGCTTTACTGAGCATCAGATCTCTGGATTTAATTGTCTGCTTAGACGTGACAAAAGCCCAGTTTCCACAGGACTCATATTTCTTGGGGATGTCCAGTGATTTGTAAGGATTTCCGAGATAATGACAGATTCTGACTGTTTGTGGAGTTTGTCATTTTCAAAATATACCATTGGTTACACTTATTCCTTGTCATTTCTGCTTGCTATTAACCTAAATTCACTTTTTGACACGTAACTCCTTTCACTCAGTTTTAGTGGAGGGACATTTTGATGAATTCCCAGCAACACACAAAATATGTTTCTCTTAGTGCACCAGTGAAGTCATTCTATTTATTTTTTAATGTGAGACACAACACAGAAGTTCCTCTCATCTTGTCCTTTGCGAATTGCTCCAGAAAGGATCAAACACCTTGAATTTGAATAATAAATAAGCCAGATTTTGCGACCTTGAGCGTGCATTCATGTGTTTTTGCCCGTCCTCGTGTGTGTGTTTCCCACCAGCAGACATGTCCTCTCCCACCATGAAGAAGCCAGAGAAGCCGCTGTTCAGCCCCACCTCCCCGCAGGACTCCTCGCCACGACTCAGCACTTTCCCTCAGCCTCATCACCCCGGCCTCACAGGTGTAGGACACAGTGGTGAGTTCCTGCTGACTCCTGAAAACCTGAAACGTTGACATTAATTCAATATATTGTGTCAACACATTTCACACAACTGTATTAGGTTGGTTGAAAGCAATAATATGAAGTTGAACCTACTATTTAGTATGAATCTTACTGTTTTCATCTAACCTAATACAGTTATGTGAAATCTGTTGACATAATATATTTAATTAAATTCAGTTTTCAGTGATTTCTTTCCTCCAGCGCTGTGGATATAATCTATGTTCATTGACCCTCTCAGATCAATGCTTTGTCTTAGCTCCATCTCACACACTGGATCTCCCTCTCTTGCAGTTATATCGACGAGGAGCCCCCCCCCCACACTCGCCCCTGCAGTTCTCGGCCTCGGCGATCCTGCCCCCGGCGCCATCGCCCTACTTCTCGCACACCACCATCCGCTACCCGCCCCACCTCAACCCCTCCGATCCCCTGAAGAGCTACGTGCCGTCATACGACCCGTCCAGCCCGCAGAGCAACCAGGTCAGCCCTTTTTTCTTTTTATTCCTTGTTGTTGTTGTTGTGAGTGTGAAGCCAGTGTGTAGTCCAGAAGTCTTTGGCAAGCGTTTCCTGGCCTCGAGTCGTCCTTTGTTATCTCGTTGGGCTCGGTTCCCATCTGAACTGAGAGAAATTACAGCATGCATGTGTCATTATTTCATTACTGCCTCATTGCACTGTTTGCAAGTACAGACACATCATCCTGTTTTCTGAAACATGCTCCTGGTCATTCATTATGTCATTAAAATGAGGTGTTTAAAAAAAAAAAAACAGCTTTGTCTCGGGGCAGAAAACCTAAAAGATAATAATTATAAACCCCAAATGAGACATTTTAATCCCTTAAGCTGACCACAATTTGATCATATTTGTCCATTTATTGAGCACTTGGCTGCATGTGGGGAAATAATATTGGTCAGTAACCTATAATTACAATAGCCATCATAACTAATTCGAATAATTAAATCATAGTTAAATTAAACCACTTTCCATTTTGCAGGCAACCCCAAAGTGACCTTTGCGGAGCACTTCATGTGACAGAGAAGCATTTATATATATTCTGCTTGATATAACGCTCAGGAAAAAGGTTACAGTACACTTGATGTCTCCATAAAAAAAAGTCAACCAAACTATTGCATTCTCACGTGACATACAAAAGTGTATCTGGACATTATAGTAAATCAAATAGCTTAGGGCCCTTTATGAATTCTCTCACAAACACTGGTGGCAGTGTGGAGAGAGAGAGAGCAGGCGTCTCTGTAGATGAGAGAGCCGTGTGATATTTATGTGAGTTTTATATCCCCGCTGTTCTCACTGTAAACAAAGGCCTCGTAGACGGCTCCATCTCCAGAGCAGGGAGCGGGTTACAGGGCTGGGGGGGGGGGGGGGGGGGGAAGCAGAGGGGGTGGGGGCTGTTACTCGAGAGAAAAACCGCGGGGAATGATAAAGGTTGTAAATATTTGCCGTTGCCGGGGCCCGGCTCTTGTGCAGAATTAACTGGCCCTCTGCTGGGGTGCTGGAGGGGAGGGGAGGGGAGGGGAGTGGGGGGGGGGGATAGTGAGGTTGGTTTCAGTAGGGAAGACCAGTTGGGGTAGGAGGGAGGGAGGGAGGGGGGGAGGCTCAGCAAATAACACAGCGCTTATAATCCCATGGACGAGTGCCAGGATGTTTTTATGCTTGCTTTAACGCAGATTATATTACACTCTAATTAAACATTCTATTCACATCCAAGGGAACCCTGTGGACACAATTCTCCGGCAGAAAGGCCTGTTTGAGTTTTGAACCCGGGGCGGCCCTGAAATGAACGCCCCAGACAGTCTCCAGCCGCCTGAAAGAGTAGCTCCCACTAGCTTCCTTTCTTCCCTTTTCTCTCCATATATATACTTGCACATTCACGCCATTGTAGCTTTGAAGCGCGCGCTCTCTTTTCATGCCCGACTCCTCCTAAATTCCATTTATGAGCGCCATTAAAATCATTGTTTGAAATCATGTAGGAAATCCATCGTCAGTGACTGAGGATCTATTGTTGCTCACGCCCCCCGAAGTTTTAGTAATAACTGTGACAACGCAACGACTAGAAGTAAAACATATTTTCTTCAGACGGAGCGCTAAGTGTAAAAGCGGTGCACGCACCTTTTGTTGTTGATTTGAGAGCAGACACAGCAGTTAGGAGGAGTTAAACCCCCCCTCTATGAAAAAGGACAAGTTTGTTTAGTGCTAACCGTTTTGGAAAAGTGCAGTTTGTTGCATTCTTGTTTTGTTTAATTGAGATCTGCCCAACTGCACATTTACCAGCCAACACGAGCTTGTAAACATGAGTCACAGTCAGTTTGCCTGTCTTCACATGGGGTTTTAGTGGCGGAAAAAACTAATGCACTTTTTTTTAGTTTTTGCTTAAATGTATGTTTCCTGTTAAAACGATTTCAGTTTCTGGCTGATATTAATATTTGCCGATATAAAAAAGCAGATAACCTCCAGAGGTGGATCGAACCCTTCCACACATGTTTGGCATTAACCTCTCTTAAGTCTGAAAGAAAAAAATCTGGGTTTTTGCTGAAATGTGTTTTTGTTTTTTCTCCCCCCCCCCCCCCCTGCAGCCTAACAGCAGCGGTCAGGTGGGGAAAGTCCCGGGACACTTCACCCCGGTCCTGGCCCCCTCCCCGCACCACGGTGCAGTCAGACCCGTCTCCCTCTCCATGCCGGACACTAAGCCCATCACCACGTCAACAGAAGGTGACTACCGACAATACATGTGTGCACAGGGTTCATACAAGTCATGACAATTAGGAAAATGTTTAATTTTTATAATTTTTCTCATAGTTAGGAACATGCTTGAATTCCAATACAGCCCTTAAATATGCATAGTCTGCTGTTCCATCCACTAAATATAATGTTTTGAATGGAATCATCTTTTTGGGGTCCCAGAACAAAAAAACATTCAAATCAAGCAAGCAAAGTAAATATGAACAACTGGTCAAATAAACAAAGTAACAAATATATATTGATTGCGGTCAGTATAAAATCTATAAACTTCATTTTTTGCAATTAATAGTAACAATTTAAATGTTGTACCCTAAAAGTGCCAACATTATACAAAGGTAGGTGACTAGAGATCAACATTTTTGAAGTGGTGTTTAGTTGGTCTTTTATTATAGGTGATATTCTAAAGTGAAAACGTCCACAGTGTAAAATGCATCTGCAAAACATCTATGAAAACACATTTCAATAATAGCTAAATAATACTTGTGAGAGATCATCCCTCACTTGTTGACCGAATGTCTACATGTAAGTGACTAAAGGATGTCCCAAACTTAAACCCTGTGCACCCCCACCTGCACTGTGTACCCTTGTGTGTTTGTAGTGTTGACAGATGACTGGCGCTAAGTCGCTGTGGATGAATTCCTGAAACGCTAATTGTAATGCAAGCGTGTATTTGTGTTTTTTGTGATGGCATGTTACCCAGGCTACTCAGCCCCTGGCACCCCGACGGCTAACCGGTTCGTCGGCCTGAGCCCCAGAGACCCCGCCTTCCTCCACCAGCAACAGGTGAGAACCCTCCCCTCCCTCCAGCACTCACCTGCTTCTCTTATCCCCTCATTATCTGTCCCCATCTCCCCCCTCATCAGACGTGTTGCCCCCTGCAAAAGCCTGTCGCACTCTGAATGGGATTTTTTGGAAGCATTGGACTATCTCGTTAGATAGGCTGAGGTTAAGCAGAGAATTCAACACCAGGATAAAAACGTTTTTCAGAAAAGGATTCATAGCGTTAGGTCATCAAACAAAAGCATGTTGTATTGGCTTACACCTTCTATGACATGCTATAGAGCATTATACAAGTACCTAACATCTGCTTAAAACTCCATCATTTGAGATGAACGCACTCATAAATACCCATAATGTCTTATAACAATAATTATAATACATTCATATGAGGCATTTTATCTAGTAATTCATAACTGCTGCTCTCTAAATTGCTTTCTTTTGGCGATCCTATAGCTTTAAAACATTATACTCTTTTTATAATACAATTAAGATAATTGTATTGTATTTAGAAGTGCTTAAAACTGTAATTATACACTGCTGTAAACAGATTAAAACAAATTCATTGTATGTTTTTAATGCTTTAAAGACATGGGTGTCATAGAAAGTAAAAGTTAAATATATAATTGTATTGCTAGATATATCTCAGTATTAATAACATTTTCTAATGCAGTTTTATTTCGAAGAAGCCTTAAACGACCCACAATTCAATAACCTAAGTGTATCTGTTAGCTGAATAGGAGTAGTTCATATCGCAATTTGTATTGAAAAATGCACTCTGTAAGCAGTTCACATCATGTCAGAGATCCACACATCTAAAAACAACAACACTTTCTCGTGAATGTTTATTACAAAGTGTGTGTTAGAGTTCAAATCCTGCATTGAAGGATGAAAAAAAGGAATCTATTTCCTTCATTTTTTTTTTAAAGAAAGTCAGGAAATCGACAGTCATTGTGCAGCTGCAGATGGATGGGACATGTGGGTGTCTTTGGGAGAGTAATGTGCTCAGCTCTATTTCCTTCACACTTAAGAAACACACACACACACACACACACACACACACACACACACACACACACACACACACACACACACACACACACACACACACACACACACACACACACACACACACACACACACACACACACACACACACACACACACACATACCACATGTAATCAGCACAGTCATCTACGGTACACAGCTGAATATTTAGTGTTGGCGTCTCGTGGTTGCCCCAGCAGTGGCCTTAGGGCAGATGTGGTCACCCCGTGAGAGTGTGTGTGTGTGTGTGTCTGCGAGGGTTAGGAGTGTTGCGGTGTTGTCGGACGGGAGAGAGTGCTCCCCCCCCCCCCCCCGTCTTATTGAAAGCGCTGGTCTCAGGCCAAGGCTTTTCCAACCACAACTAATTGAATGCATCTGCACGCGGCTACATAATGATCTCTGGGTTTCTCCTCAGCTCGCCTTTTTCTTCTTCATGTTTAGTCAAAATGACAAAGCTGGCCTCTGTTTCCTCACCCCTCTCTGTCTTTATGTTTCTCTTTCTGCCTTCCTGCTCGCCGTTTTTTCTCAAAATCAGAGAAGGCCTCAAAAAAAATATCGGTGGATGGTTGTCAGCAGTCATGGGACGCTTTTATTTCGCTAGGGAAGAGGGGGAAGAGTTACACTGATGTTGTGCAGTTTGTCTTGTACAGTAGACCTTCTACTTCTTTGGAGTGAGGCACAAAACAGAAGCAGTGTGAGCCAAGATCAGAGGGCTAGCAGACACAGATAGAAGTACCCTTCTGCACAAGTACAGGATGATAATCTAATAACAAATATTTGTAATTTGCGTCAGGACACAACGTACGCAAAGATATCTTTGGACATTGGGAAAGACGGTGGCTCAAAATGAGAGTAATGACATGCTATATCCAGATGAATAAATGATCCGGTCGGCTTAAGGGACTCTAAACAGTCCTCTCATTGATTCATCATGCTCCTTCTTGTCACAGTTGTTGTTGTTTTCTGTGGTGTGATTTAACGGCCTGAGATCTGGCCCTGCAGAGCGGAGCGGACCGAGCCAAGTCCCTCAGGACCAAACAGCCTCAGCACCAGCACTCTGTCACCGGCTCGCCTGCTGACGGGAGTTTACTGTGTGGGATCTGTGAGGCTTACCCACACTTTGGGTTGTTTAGCCGCAGCCGCTGGTTGCTAGGAAAGGAAAAGGCGTTGAACACATACTGTACGGAGGGTTGAAGTTTCATTCCGTCTGTGTGAACGACAGCTGCCATGACTTGCAAATGCATCTGACTCGGATCTTTTTTTGGAACACACATTGTTTTAATAAAATAACAAACAATTAATATCCCCATGATCCTGGCTCAAACTGCTACTAAATATCAGCAATGAGTAGTCGGTATCCATAGGTAGACACTCTTTATTATTTTGGTAATCTTTTAAAAATATAGCAACAAAAATGCCTTTCATATATATACTTCCCTGATTTATAAAAAAGTGTTTATTTTCAGATTTTAACTGACAAAACAAGACATTTATAGTCATTAATTATGAGAAACTCCTATCGATTTCTAGATTTCTAGACATTTTATAGACCAAACTATTCATCTAGACAATAATAAGCAGATAAATCAATAATAACAAATGATTGTTTGTTGCCGTCTTAATGAATTACACTCATATTATTTAATTACTATAAATTAATCTTAATAAGCATTTAATACTTTGTTGTATAGTTTAAAACCCTTTTCAGCGCAGTGCCTATTTTAAAATGTGACACCACTAAAACAGAAGTCCCTGGAAACACACTCTGTCACACACACACACACACACACACACAGTAGGCTTCAAGAATAAAACAAAACAACACCACCACACGCTCCCACACCTGCTCCATGGTTCCCAGGCAGTGAGTGTGTGAAACCCTCCATTCATCCCTCGCCTTGGTTAACCCCTCGAGGGAATGCCAGCGTGGAGCATTCCGCAGGGAAAGATCCGTGATCAGATGTCATTTGGTATTATCTAAGGAAGGATCCTAATCCACAATCTGCCCGCATCTGTTTGCTAACGTTCCCCGGCTCCGTCCCCCCCGCTCCCCTCGCTGGCCGTGCCACTGTGATGTGCCGGTGCCAGCGGACAGATGGCGAGCCCCTGGAGGAGCGGTGGCACCGAGCGTCTGGCCCCGCCGCACATTCTCTCCCAGCTTTTGTCAGGCTGCGGAGCGCGGGGGTTTAGTCTCCAACGCTCCCTGAATACAGAGACAACACACAACAACATGCATTGTTTCCCATTCGGTTTAATTAAACGGCTATTGAACCTGTCAAGGGGTTAATGGGAGTATTTTGATAACTGTTAGAGGCATTTTTCATCAACATTTTTTGTAAAATTCATTTTTTAGCCTCAAATGTGGATACCTCCTGCTTTTTCCTGATTATATCACATTGAAGGGAATATCGTTGAGTTTTAGACAAAAAAACAACACATACAGACATCACCTTGGATTTTGAATAACTGGAAGGGACATTTTTTACTATTTTCTGACATTTTATAGATGGATTTAATGTAGAAAATAATCAGCAGATTATCTATAAAGAAAAAAAACGTTATTTGCAGCCAAAGTTATAAAATTCTTGAGATGCTTTCAAGATTCACCCCTGAAATTGCCCGTTTCTTGCTACTACTTTAAATTAGTACAAGAACAAAATCAGGGCCAATAACAAAAACTTGGACTCATATTGAATCATGTTATAGACCCATCAATCAATGCAGATGTATCTTTCATTCTAAAGTGTTAGATCTAGCCCGAATTACTACATCCTTGAAAGGCTTTTCAGCCCTAAAATCATCCGTTTCTTGCCACTACTTTGCATGATTTCCATAAGAAATCAAGGCACATAACAAAAACACATCAGTGTATTTAAGTACGGTGTAAGTAGGAGGCCATCATCTTCTCCTGATGTTCATCCAGGTGCTTCTTGACCGCTGCAAATGGCTCTGAATATTCAGCGTCTGCGTCTCTCTGATTAAATCTCTCTTAAGAGCCTCTGCAGAACGTCTGCCACTGCTCGCAGAGTGCTAACAGTGCAGTTTTACCCACGATGCATTACTAAATGAATGTGTTGACCACAGGGCAAGGTTAGCCGGGTATTGGCAGAGATAGCTCTCAGCTGGATTGCCGACACGTGCGCTCGCATAATGCATGCAAAGGAGACACAGTTTGTGTGTGGCTTTTTTGTTGCAGTAATTTGTAATCTGTATGTAAGGGTTGGCATGTCTTAAAAGTGGGGCTGAGGGTGGTAGTGTGAGCGTGCATGTGTGTGTGTGTGAAGAACGTGTGTGCGAGTGTGCTGTTTAACTCCATTGTAATGTTGACCCCTAATCAATAAAAACAATTTAGCTAATGAAAAAAAAACAGTCTGCATGCTCGAGGGCATGCGCACTCCTTCCTGAATCTGACAGTGCACTTACAGTGGAGCAGTGATTATCCACAGCCCGCATGCATCCTGTGGCATGGCTTCATTGGCTAAAGAAAACACCCCCCCCCCCCCCCCCCACCACCACCCACAGATGAAATCCCCACACACTTGTCACTAACTAACTTTTATTTCCAGGTTAGCTGTCACCACTAACTGTGATTGCATGCTTTTTTCGTTATGTCTGTTTTATCCCTAGCCTTTTTGATTTGACTGTCATTTTACCCAGCACATGTTCCATTGTCAGTAACAGCTAGGACTCATTTTCGGAGTCGTTCTGTATTTCCGCTGCTCCTAGGCTCTTCTGCATGCATCTGTGTTAAGTTGTAGTGTAATCTGAAGTGGAAGTTGTCTTGGCCAAGTGAACTGACTGCTAGGTTTCAATTGACAGCTGAGGAAGTGTGACTGGAGCGTGACTCAAAACGGCAGGCATTATGGCCCCAGTGCCACTGACGACACTTTGGGGATTACTTGGCAAAGGTAACCTTTTCATTCTTTCATGCAGTCTCTCTGTCTCTCTTGCACCACACACACACACACACACACACACACACACACACACACACACACACACACACACACACACACACACACACACACACACACACACACACACACACACACACACACACACACACACACACACACACACACACACACACACTGCAATGAATAATGCAATATAATTCATTTGATTTATACAATGTCACATATGAATTCACATATAAATCAACATTTTCTGATTTGTGGCTGTATAATTTTAAGAAGGCATCAGATTTTGGTGTGACACGGACAATGTTTTTAGGATTGTTTTGTGACAGTTTTCCCCAAAATAGATCTTTTGTATTTATGTTTTGAAATGTTTTTGTGTGAATTTGTCAAACTTTATTCATTCCAAATTGTATCCGGGGGTTAGATTCTCTATTGGACACCCAACGAAAACAAAATGTTCTCATTTCATAACACACACTTTTGATGAAACTAATGAGAACAAATGAAGTCCAACCAGGTAGAATAAAAAGAAGTCATTCCAGGTCAGCTTTCAGCCACGTGAGGATGTTTTACTTTCCACATTTAACAAGCTTTGCTTTGTTTGACTTTATGCTGAAGTCATGCTTTGCTCTCGTTAACCTAAAGCTACAGAAAGTCTCCTCTAACCCCCCTCCCCCTTCATCTCCCCCCCCCATGCCTCCACACTGTATCTCTCCCTCTCTGGAGGAATAAACCTGAGCCATTTCACTGTGGCGGAGCGAGCGAGCTGAGCCTTTTCCTGTTACGTCTTTTCCCCTTTTCCATGCGAGCGTAGATGGTGTGTGTGTGTGTGTGTGTGTGTGTGTGTGTGTGTGTGTGTGTGTGTGTGTGTGTGTGTGTGTGTGTGTGTGTGTGTGTGTGTGTGTGTGTGTGTGTGTGTGTGTGTGTGTGTGTGTGTGTGTGTGTGTGTGTGTGTGTGTGTGTGTGTGTGTGTGTGTGTGTGTGTGTGTGTGTGTGTGTGTGTGTGTGTGTGTGTGTGTGTGTGTGTGTGTGTGTGTGTGTGTGTGTGTGTGTGTGTGTGTGCGGATAGTGTGTGCCCGCTGAAGTTACAAACTCTTTTACACAAACAGAGCCCCCTTCAACAGGCCTCCTAATAGGCCGGTGAGGTAGCAGAGAAAATGTCCCCTGCAGCAGGACTCACAGCAGCTAACTCCTCCTCTTCTCCCCGTGTGAGAGTACAGTAATGAGCAGAAAGATCCCAACTGAATTTAGATAATTCTGTTACAAAGATGCCCCGGTAATTCTATTCCAGTTGTTTTCCCTCTTATTAATGTAAAACCATTCCAACATATAGATGGAATCAGTGGGATTTCTCTTTTATCTCGGCTGCCCTTTAAACGAAGCCTCTTCAGTTCTATCCCCCCAAATTAAAACACTGCCAGACCCGCATGTTGCCATTGTGCAGGAAATGGGTCAGCAATCCATTAAGATGCCATTAGATAATCTAATTTAGGGAGCTAATCCTTAAACGAAGCACGCTGTATGCCCGGGCTGTGCTTGCAGGGAGTAGAATTAGTGAGGTTTGGGAGCTTGGACAGGGCACAGGGAGGCCATCTTGAAGGTTACCTAAGGAAATGCAGCGATGGCGGTCAGAGTGCAGAAAGGCAAAGTTGTACAGACACAAAATATGTAGAAATAGTTGTATTTTAAGCTAATGTGGCTATTTTATTTGAATAGAGAAAGGGAAATGCTTGACACATTGGAACAATACCCCAAATTATTTTCATTTGGCACTAAAAGACTGCATTTTAAATGTATTTGATTGCATCATACCAAGTGAAGATGTTTGTATTCAAAGTTAAGTAAAATCCTAAGTTAAGTCTCAATCAGTAGCGAAAGGAGGACTCCAGCCGCCCACTCTTTGATTTAGCCCGATAGTAGAGAGGAAATCTTTACATTAAAGTCCTGCCCAGTGCAGCTTCAGGTTATGGGATGCAGATTCAGACTGACAGCCATCGGTTTTAACAAGATTACAACCGATCTGCCGGTTTAGTGCGCACAAAGGCCCGTGAGTCTGCTTTTGTAGCTGTGTGGTCCCCCTTTAATCTAAGCCATTACCTGAGAGGAGTCTCGTAAGGACAGGGAATCAGGGAGAGATGGGAGGAGGGAGAGAGGGAGGGAGAAAGAAAGGGAACGGGGAGAAGAGAAAGCTGCAGCACTCTGTGCGCTCTTTGTTCAGCAAGGTAGGAAAAACGTAATCCTCCCTTTCCTGTCCGATGATTTTTGGCAGGGTGAAAGAGAGAAGGAGGCGGGGGGGGGGGAGGAGAGAGAGGATAGCATGAGGACGGGCTGGGTAGGAGGAGGGAAAAAAGACTTTAGAGAGGATTAGCCTTGAGGTTGTTTTTAACTCTTTGCACACTTTGAGATGTTTGCTTTTATTTTGAATACATCTTCTCTTCTCTGTGTTCTCTCAAGCTCTATACAAGAGTCTGAAGGCACAGAGGTGAATTACATTTGCACTTTTCAAGTAGAAGAGCAGTGACTAGTGAATTGACACCTCTTCTACTTCTGCAAACACATTTCTTCTTTATCTGTTCCTTGTCAAACAACTCCTCTCCTTGTTATCATCTCCCCAAACATGACCTCCTGTCTACTTTTTCAACATCTTCCATCATCCTCCCTTCCCAGCTCTTCTTCATGTGTCTCTATCCGTCCACGCTTCATCAGACAAAAGTTAGTACACGGTGAACCGGGTAGAAAGTGTTCGACGCAGGTATTCTCCGAGTTAGCGGTGATGATGTGAGAGGGTGTTAGATGAGTGCACACAGGGGGCCTGTAGGGGAGAAGGGGGTGGTGGTAGTGGGGGGGGGGGGGGCTAATTATCTGACATCTACGTAGCACAGCACCCCACGGGAACAACATGCTGTTTGTTCCCCGCTCGCGTTTTCAGTTAGCACCGTTGCTCCCCAGGAACAATCACTGTGTTGTTTTGCCATTAGCGTGAGATGAATAGGGATGGGACAGCTTTATGTAGGACCCCCCCCCCCCTTCTCACACTTTTTTTACCCTCAACCCCCCCTCCTCCTCCACCATCACACACTCCCCCCCCCTCATTCTATACCGCCATCAATGCAGAGAGGAGAGCCTGCGTCATGGCTCTGGGACTCAAGTGGAATCACCTCAGTTTAGATTAATGAGCTACGGCGGCCATTTCTCTTGTTGTCCGAACGAAACAAAAAGCAGACCTTGAACCCTGATGGCTGCTGGTCGTCAGCAAAGCAGTGTTCAGGATAACTGAAATAAAGAATCTGATTTTGCTGCAGAAACAAGCTAACGGCATGTGACTAATCTCTCCTTCTCTCTGTGTGTCTTCTCTCCACAGTCCTGGTACCTGGGCGAGCTTAGTTCCATTCCAAGTATCGAACGGGACTCCGATTCTGCCAACAAATGTCCACCAGAACTACAGCATAAACATCATTGGTGAGCCGCTGGTCCCCGCTGAGACAGGGAACTGAACACAGAGCCCCCCCCCCCCCCCCCCCCCCCCCCCCCCCCCTCCAGGGTGGATGCATGGCCGGGGGTGCTGGTGGTGCACAGCCAGCCCTACAGGTGTCCGCAGCCATGGATGAAACCAGCAAAGCAGCACGAAGCTGCACAATCGTCCCCTAACTCCCCATCTCTCCCCCTTCCTTGCCCCCCTCCCACTCCCCCTTTTGAAGGACACTGGCCGTGAAGTGAAGGTTTTTTTTCGGAGGAAAGAAAAAAAGCTTCAGGTCTGCCGTGTCCCCGCCCCCCCCCCATTTTCCACCTCCACCCACCAGTCAGTCGTTGTGTTGGAAGAACTTCTCAATCCATTCAAATACTGTGATGTATAGATGCCTTAATGTTTTATTGCATGACACTCTAGTCTCTTAGCGGCAATTCCTACTATTTTTCCGTGCTGTGGGAGGAAGTAAAATCTTGATTTACACACACACATACATGAAGAGGTCTGCGCAGCGACAACCTCTGCCTGGTGGATGGCTCTGAGACTCTAAGCTCTCCGATCAGACCTCTTGAAAAGAGGCCCCCCCCCCCCCGCGTCAAACGATTCACTGTGTACACCATAGGAACAAAAAATTGTGAATTCAGAGTTTCTTCTTGCGTTTGATTTCAGTTTACTGTGATACGACTCTCTGTTCAGAAAAATGTGTTGACTTTGTTTATTCTTTACTGCTACTTACTTTAAGAATTAACGTGAATACTTACAGTAAGAGTTGAGAACTCTTGATGCGGTTTTAAAAAAACACTAAATGTTTGGCTTGAGATTGGACCCCTCATTAAAAGAATTTGCAACTCCTTTACAAAAGGATCTAAAAAGACGGAGAATATGAAAATCGCGATAGAGGCAAGTGCAATGGAATTTTTTGAAGGGAAGCTATCAGTCTGTTAGCCCTAAGACTCTAAAGGAAAGGGGATAAATATTAAATGGTTTTATGGGTAAAATGTTTAAGAAAACATTTGAATTTGATTTCACTCACATATCCGTCTTCTCACATGAGAAAAACATCGAGCGTGGAAGGCAGTTGAAGGCAAGCACTGAGCTGCCGGTGCAGCGCTGAGCAAAACCAGCTCTTCTTTTGAGCCCTTCCCATCAATAGGGGAAGTATTTTATATTTATTTTGGGGAAAAAATAAGCGAACATAAGTAATGAGACACACAAAGTGTGTAAAAATTGCATTTCATTGTTTTTTAAAAATGTTCACGATAAGATCAAGAGCGTATGCATTTGGCCATCAGCTTCTAAAGCTTATGTTTACAAAAAAATATATGGAATGCAAACTGTTAATCCATGGAAATGTACAATTCATGCAAATGTACAGCAGGCTTATGTGTAAAGCTACAGTTTGTGCAAGGTGAACTCTAAAGCGGAAGAGGTTTAAAACTGCAAGATGAATCCAGGTGGTGGCAAATCCCTGAAATCTAGAATTGTGCACGGCATGTTCACAGCCATTGCCTCTCCAGTCCAGACATATTTATACAAGGAAAATCTCTCCAGTACTCTTAATTTGCACGATGACATATAGTCCACATTACGTGCCTTGCCTTTGAATATAGAGACATCACTACACTTGTTTTTGCTGCATTTATCATTATAGAAAAAATTAACATTTTTATGATAAGAATTGTTTTGTACTCTGAATGAAATTGTTGATTTTTAACTTCATGTACTACTCTATTTCACAGTTACATTGCATATCAAGGCTGTGTATAGTTGCCGTTTTAAAGTTTGTAATCAACCAGCATTTTTTTTTTTCTCTCAGTATTTTTGGTGGTTTTTCTAATAACCTGTCATTTTTTTGTTTTCCTTATTTTTCAATGCTCATTGTGTTCATCTTCCAATTACTATTGTGGAGGGTGGAATTCAGAATTATGAAAATTATGCAATACCAAGTTTTGCCTATGTAGGTAGTGCTTATAGATGCGTCAATTATTAGAGGCTAGTTTGGAGATAGACAATATTGTAATGCATTTATTTTGTTGATATCGTTGTTTGTCGTTGTTGTTGTTGATGATGTTGTTGTTGTTGTGGGTGTTTTTCCTTTTTTATTGACCAAAGTGGGGACTGCTTTCTATGCAGTGTATGACAAGGTCTTTATCTTTGTTTTTCTTTTTTTTAGCATTTAGGCCTACCGAATGACGGTGTGTTCCAGTGTATTTTGAATTCGCGAGTTTTAGAGGGAGGGGCGGTATTTTTCTAGAAGTACTTTTTAAAAAAAAGTGCACCCTTGGTCTTTAAACGGCTGCAAAGTCACTGATTGGTCTACTGTGACTCTTACTTTTAACTTTCCACCTGGGGTGCTAGCATGTGACCTTGAAGGAGCTCATTTTTCACAGGAGAGACGGCTTGACTTGAGTATGACAATCATTTTAAGAAATCATTTTGCGTCGAATCCCATTCTCTCACAGATCCCTTAAAGCTGCAACTGAGGACGGATACCGTTGCACGCTTGTATCGAGTACTACGCCGTACTATTCTAGACGTCACCTGAATGCAATTCCCAAGTAGATGCCTTAAACACATCAGTGAAGTGGCCTGTGACCTGCGCAACAATCACACACCGACTATTGCTAGTGAGACCTGTCCAAATCAGTTCCAGACGGGCTCGAGCAAGCCTTTAGAAAGTATTTTATAAGTAGTAGATTTGTATAAATGTATATACGATATGCACATATGTGAATTCCTGAGATACTTCCCCAGCAGAGAGCCCAGTAGAAGTAAATATTGGAAGCACAGAAGCGTGGTGCTTTCTGATTTCGTGTCCTGTGGCCCCGTAGAAGCTTAAATAGAATCCACTAGAAGAAAAGAATAGCACTTATCTAGCACATAGGCAATCTTTTTCTCCCCCGTACAGTGTTTTGAAACCTAGTCTTAAACTAAACTCTCAGGCGTAATACAGGGCATTATTTATATCAATCATTATCATAAAAAAAAAACTCTTCTCACAGAGAGAGCAGCGTTTCCGATGCTGCTATGACACCTTTTGCACTCTTTCCTAACAATCGTGAAAGAAACGTTCCCCTCAGACAGACCGGGGCTCTCCGGCAGTCGTAAGCAGAGGGCTAAGAAGCAGAAATCGTTTTTAAAAAATAATCCTCAAGTCAAGCTCAATCTCTCCGTCTTCACCCATATTTCTTATGCAGAAAATGTTTAAAAAGTCACCCCGTTCTATGTGCACTGTTCTGTCTTTTTTCGTTGTTTTATTCTTTTTATTTGAGAAGAAAAACTATAAGTGCTTTGCAGCCTTTGGCCATTGGAGACCCCACTGACGTGCATTGTCCCCAGTTGTGTTTATGAGTGAGTGTGTGTGTGTGTGTGTGTTTGCCTGTGAGTGTGCGTGATAAAATGTGTCAGGGTCACTGTGCTGTTGGTGTTTATTTGAATAGGAGACTGTACATAAAGGTAAATATCCTGATTGCGTCGATAGCAGTAGTCTGTGTGGTTGAACTCTGCGTTGGCAGCTTGAGTGTTAGTGTGCATGTGCGCGTGTGTGTGTGTGTGTGTGATAGAGTGCCTCTGACACTACACAATGAGAGAAGATGAGGGTCTTTCTATTGAATTAAAAAAAAAAAGCCTGCCATAGGACAGGAGTTTGTACACTGTAAACTTTCTCGAGAGTTCTCCTCTTTAAGCCCTTATTTGTAAATCTTCAATTCTGGGGAAGAATGTGTCAATTCCATTTTAGGAACATTTTTTAATTTGGTATTTGTTTTGGAGGCTGGATTTGAGTTAGAACTCTCCAGGATTTCCAGATTATTAGAATCTAAAGTGTTGTATTCCTGTATGTATAGTAAACATAGGGGGGAAATATTCTATACAGATCCATAGATATAAAAAAAACGACAACAATGAAGGCTTTTTGTTATTAATATTATTATTTCTGATCTTGTTTGGTTAGTGCTTAGATATTTACATTTGGGAAACACTTCATGAATATTTGAATTATTGTTCTTTGATTAGTGTGGCCATAGCGAGTTTGATGTGATTTATCTCGTTTTTTTTTTTGCAAATGGGTGTGAATTCTTGTCCAACAAGATCTTGGTGTGAGTGTGTTTCGGTAGCAGCTGGGAGGTGTCTTCACTGAACCAGTAGAAAAGGCCCCAGATTGCACCTGAACTTGAGCGAGAAGCAGGGTAAAATCTGCAGTGACAAACGTCCTCGATGAATCTATCAGATAGTTTATTTTTTTTCTTTTTCGCTTCTTCTCAGAGGAAATGTTGTGGGACGATTGGTGCTACATTTGGACTCAGATCAGATTCGGCAGGCCAATGTTGAGCTGTTTAGTTTGTTTGTTTGTATGCAGACGACACTCTAATATCTCTTTTATGATCAGTAACTACATCTAGGCATCACTCATTTTGCACATTCCACATGCTGTTTATGCCTGATGTGATGTCAAAACACTTCATTAACACTACAAACGAACATCACATTGTACTGCAGGTGCTTCAGAATAGGGTACTGTACCTTCCAGCTGTTAAAAGCTAATGTATTTGGGCATGGTCACGTATTTCTATCGCTACGCAGAGTGTGGATGTAGCCTGTTAGAAAGCTCTTGAAACTTGTTATTAGTCTACCATCCCTTCAGAAAGAGCCATATTTGGCAGATTTGACAACATTATTTCAGAAAGTATTAGAAAACAGGACATCTTTATGCAAGGAGGACCTGTGGCACTCATGCAATATGTATACTTTTCTTTTAACTGAATGTCACACACTCTGCAGGGACTGAGAGGGCGTATGCATGCAGAGGACATTTCATTTTCATCCTACACGAGCAATACACACCTTCCATTCGTTGGCTAGCTGCTAGTCACTTGGCATCAGGTTGTTATAAAACATGAAAAACCAGCATTTTTACAGGATGTAACATTCACCAAAAGAAGACAAAAAAAGATAGCAATGCAGTGCCTGTTCAAGCTGTCCGAGTGTCTATTGTATATAATTGTAAAATGTGATAGACTTACTTTCATATGTGACATGAAAAACAAC